ACACCCACACCCACCCACACCCACAGCTAATATTTATATGTATGAATGGGAACCAAGGGGGAAAACACGTACTCCCCGACTCCCGTTGTACTCCCGTACTCCCATTGTACTCCCGTACTCCCATTGTACTCCCTGGACTCCGGGAGTACATGGGAGTACAGGGAGTCCAACATAGGGGTGGGAGTTTAACTTTAACTTTAACGTTAAAGCCAAAGTTAAAGTAACATACTTTAACACTTTAACACTGTAACGTGAAAGCAAGGGAGAAATCACATACTTCCGTACTCCATGTACTCCGCTGTACTCCCCCAGTTCCATTGTACTCTCTGGACTCCGGGAGTACACCGAATTACAAGGAATCTGTGAGATACAATTCTTATGTAGGAGACCGTATCACAGATACCTTTGTCAACCACTTTAAATATTCCTATTTCTTCTTGAATGGGATACTCATGTCCTCATGACCTATGCTTTGGGGGCACCCATAAGTCCCCATGGCCTATCCTATGGGGTACCCATAAGTTCTTATGACCTATCTTTTGGGGGTACCATAAGTCTTCATGGCCTATCTTATGAAGGTACTCATAATTCACCAAGGGCTATTGATGTTTGGTATTGTTAAATTTTCAAGCACTGTCTTGCGGTAGTTCCAGTTACTCTTCAAGCATTATTTCGTGGAGGGATGTCGGATACCGCTAACTGTTAAAGAGATATCTAGCGTTAATCGTCATAGGTTTTCAAGAGCTTCTAGGTAGGAACGCAAACTGTGATAAGAACGCTACTCACACGCAAGGAGGAAACAGCAGACTCCCAGACTTCGTACTCCTAGGGATTCCTCGAAACTCCCAGGGACCCCTTGGGGACTTCCGCGGACTCCTGAGCTTCCCAGGATTTCATGAGATTTCTTCGAATTTCGAGGGACTTTATGGGACTTCCTGGGATTTCCTTGGAACTCCTTTGGGTCTTCTCACTACTTTGACATATTCCGAAGTAGTAGCACCTACATGCATCATACTGGTCTGCCTGTTCAGATCAAAGGTTAAAGGTCAAAGGTTAAACACTAATGAAAAGAAACCAATGTGTAAAGAGCTGCGCTCCTGTATTTTATGGGACTCCTTGGGACTCTTTCAGATTTCTTGGAGTCCTTGGAACTCCTAGGGACCTTCAGGGACTCGTGGAGTATGGAAGTCTGCTGTTTCCCCTTGCTTATAGTACTCCCATAGGATAGCTCATGAGAACTTATGGGTACCTCCATAAGAGAGCCCATGTGAACTTATGAATACCCCTATAAGATACATCGTACTTTCGGGATTTCAAGGATTCCCATTGTACTCTCAGGGATCCGGAATCTTGGAAATCCTCTTTTTCCCCTTGCGTTCAACTATAAGAAAGACGAAAAAGAGGAATGCGACGTCTCGTCCACTAGATACCATCCTAGTTGCTTTGTCTACTAAACAACCTATTATTCAAGGGGAAAACGGCTGACTTCGAATCCATCAAAAGTGCCAAACACGTATTAAAAGCATCGGAGTCGGCTCACGAGAATCGCAGCAAGACTCAGAATAACAAAATTAGGTATGGAGTATGACTCGAAGTATCGGAGTATTTGTCAGAGTATTGGAGTAGTCCCGAAGTATTTGAGTTTGGCGGAAATACCAAAGGGTGAACCCGTTTTGAGGTGTTTACAGTTAATTACTTCGTTGCTTCTTTTCGATCATTATGATTCTCAAACGTGAAATGAAGTGTGGGGGGAATTACAGCTGTTGGCTACTAACTTGAGACTCCCATACTGCGATACTTCAATAATACTTCGATATTCCGGCTCGTATTCCAGTACTCCGATGATACTTCGACGATATTCTAATACTCCAAGCTGAAATCCAACGCAAAGAGTAAAGTTGATAATTTGAATTATACTGCTGAGACACATGATGGAAGATGGTAGATTCTCACTGAAATGTCCATTGCGAACAACACAAAGCATGTCTTAGCTGCTGGAGTACGATGCGAAGTACGATCCGAAGTACCGGAGTATCAGCTAAAGTATCGGAGTATCTGAGATCCCGGAGTGCCGTTTCCCCTTTGCTATTATTCGAGGTCGTTTAAAAATTAAAACAAGGAAAAAACCAGTCATACAATACTTTCTCAAAAAATATTCGGAATAAGCTATTAAGTTTGTTGTACTCCCATGTACTCTCTGTACCCCGTGAATACTTGTAGTACGGGAGTACGTGTTTTCCCCTTGATTCGAGGTCGTTTATAAATCAATAAAAGAAAAAAAAATCAATCGTGCAATGCTTTTTCGAGATATATTTGGGGTCGATTTGTGGTACATTATTACGTTCGCTGCGTTTCCTTGTACTCCCATGTGTTTCCTTGTACTCCAATGTATTCCCTTGTATTCCCATGTATTCCCCTGTACTCCCATGTACTCCCTTGTACTCCCATGCATTCCCTTGTACTCCCATGTACCCCTTGTACTTTCTTGTACTCTCTTGTACTCCCATGTACTCCCTTGTACTCCCATGTACTCCCATGTACTCCCTTGTACTCCCTTGTACTCCCATGTACTCCCTTGTACTCGGAGTACGGGAGTACGTGTTTTCCCCCTTGATGGGAACAAACCTTAATTCAACATCAACAACAACGAATTGAACTCTACGGCCGGTAATTTGTTTTCTTTTCAAAAAAAAGACAATAAGCGATGTATCACTATTTTTTCATTGTAGGTATATTGATGATATATTTATGACGTCCAATGAACCTGTTGAAAACATTAAAGCATTACTTGATCGTGAAAATGCAAAAGATCCAAATATTCATATTACTTATACCATTCATGACTCTGTTGAATTTCTTGATGTCTTAATTGAAAATAATCAAGCACAATTAAAAACATCAGTTTTTCGTAAACCAGCTGCCGACCCATACATTTTACCGTATACGTCGGATCATCCACGTCATATTCATTCCAATACAATCCATACAGCATTACTTCGAGCTATTCGACTTTGTTCAGATGTACAAACATTTGACCAAGAACGATTAAATATTGAAATAGCCCTACTCTTAAATGGTTATCCACTAAATTTTATCAAACGTCATTTAAAACAATTCTTTAGAAATCATAATGCTATGTCCATCTATCAAGATATACATGAAGAAACCTATAAGAAACTACATCTACAACTACTTGATGAATCATTAACTCATCATATAGGATCAAATCAACCAGAACAACAACAACAATATGCACAAACCAACCGACAATGTCAAACAACCACATCGAAAAAACAACCATACATCATTATACATTACCAATATGAAAGCGGTCCGGTAAAAACTTTCAATTCAGAATTTCGAAAACTTTGGAAAAAACATTTCTGTTACCCAACCTCATCAGTTAATAATGTTCGACTCATCCTCGGTACTAGAATCAACAAAACGATAGAAGACTTACTAATCAAGAAGAAACCACCTCGGAACCTACTCCGGAATCTCGATTCCATCTCAACATGACCAAATGTAAAAATATGAAACTAAAACATTATTGTTATATTTTTGTAATATTTTTTGTACATAAACATATTATATCAGGAAAGATATCTGAACATTAAGAGCAACCTGTAGTATACTCAATACTTTCCACATTATCGACACTGTTTAAGAAAATTTCCATTTCCATTTTAGATAACTATTATATATATACGACAAAAAAAAACCAATAAGAATCCACACAAAATTATAACGTAAAATCCACGAACAAAACATACAACAACAATTAACACCACTGGAACATACGGCGAACTACAAAAACATAACAAGCAAACGAAAGATTTATCAAATTCAACAAAAGCAAAACATTTTAACCAACTCTACTATTATAATATAAAATCGACAACCATCATAATAAGTCTACATAAACAAAAATGCCAGCAATGCATCAAACTGCAACCATACAAGGTAAGACAAAAACCCTCGTATAGCAAACATCACCAACATCCTAAAATACAGAATTCAGAAAAACAAAAAAAAACAAAACATAAAACCTACCATGTAGGCAAAACAGACCCATAGACACTAAAAAAAAACCATATCACATACAAAAAGCAAACGAAACATACCTGCCTCAAGCTCAAATAAGAACAAAACACAGTTCATATCCCAAAGCAGAGGAATCGGCAGCATCTATACACCTAAATACTTCACATAAGTTTCAAAAAAATCTCCATTAAAACAAACTAGACGTTCAATTCAGTAGTCGACTAAGATTATAGTCATCGTTAATATTATTTGAAAATTTTACTTGTGCATATGTCTTATATTAATTATTGTAT